GACTTAGGTTATCTCCTTTAGACACAAGAGTATCATGCGGTCTACGATATTTCAAGACAAATCATTCCAACACCTTTTGAATGTAAGATTTGTTTTGTGAAAATCCAAGAACTCCCCATCAACAACCATATTGAACTTGTATTCCTAGAATGAAAGAAACTTATTAAGTTCTTTCATTTCAAATTCTTCAAAAAAAAATTAGTTTCATGACGCAACTCTACATCATCAAAACTTTAACCAAAAAGTCCTTATGCCTAAAACATCAACTACATTTTCATCCCATATATATATATATATATATATATATATATATATATATATATATATATATATGTATATATATATATATACTTTTCATCAATAAGTACGCCTTATGGTGTCCAGGCAACCTTGCATATATTTATTGTTATATGAGTTATAGCACTAGAATCCACCCACCAAGTAAATCTAGGTACTTAAACCAAATTTGTTGGGTTTAATTTTGTTCCAAAATTTGTTTAAAAAATGATCCAAATAGCGAGGAAAGAAAAATAATTTTGAACAATCTCGGAACAGATCCAAAAATTCTTCACATCGTTAAGCACAAACCCCATTTGTGATCCTTTCCTTTCTTCCTTTCCCGCAACGGACACATACTCTCAAACAAAGTTCTGAATGTTGTACAGTTGAGAGATGCCTCCTATCAAGTGCCTATAACAGCTACTATTAACAAACCGAAGTCTAATGGTATGCCTCCATAGCTGCTCCAACTCTGAGCGGGATCAGTTAGTCTTTGGAACCCAGTCCATTTTGAAACTGGGTCGAACTTTGTCATCTACGCAAGGTACTCTCTCCCATGACATATCCTACTTATCACAAACAGAAGATGAAGAAATATTAGAGTCATTAGAAGATTTTGGAGATTAAACCTTTGGTACCCATCTGTAGTCGGGTTTAACCCATCTTTTGTTCGAGAGGATGGGTGCCTAGGAACTTTATTTTGAACTTGAAGCCGATCTTCGAGATGACTTTGATCTACCTGATCTTAGTTTCATCGGAGCATCTTTTCGATAGGACTTCTTGGCTGACATTCCCTTCTTGTTGTTGGGAGCTGATTTCTTGGTCTTCTTTGCATTCCAGTCACCATTTAGCAATTGTGACCACAAAGGGTTTCTTTTGATATATCTCCCTCTTAGTGCTTTCTACCACCCTTGTGCATAGTAGGGAACATATGCATGATTAGGATAATTCCTGGCAATGTGTCCAAGTGTTCTATAGTGAAAACATGTCTTTTCTTCACGTAGGAGTTGTTTCTTCCTACCCCTGGTGGCGTGACCTTGCCTCGTTTCTGATTGTTCCCACAAGCACACTTGAAGCAGGCACTCTGTTTAGCTTGTGTTGGTGGCTTGTATTTACCAATAATAGGTTGATCAGAAGTAAATGAGTTAGAAGCAGCATATTCAGAGTTCAAGGAGACACTGGTTTGTTCAATAGTGTTCTCCTTGTTCTCATCTTCCGCTACCTTACCTGCACAAGAAGTAGAGACATTAGAAATGTTCACCTCAATATCCTTAGTTGGCCCAGATTGTTCAGTATTAATTGAAGCCAGTACAGGGGTTTGGCCATACTGACCAGGAACTTCTTCCTCATTGGTCTCAAGGGGTGGGTTATAGTTGTGATTAAAGGGAGGTGGTACACTGTGATACCTTAGACTCTTATTTTGATTCTCCTTAAAAGTTAGTTGTTTTTCAATCATTGATGCAACTACCTCACTTGACACATCAAATTTCTTAAATTTGAATTCAACATCTTATATTTAGCTTTTAATGCATCAAGTTCAACAGTTAATTTGGCAAGTTGTCTCTTAACATAGTTATAGTTTTCACATTTGATGCTATATTCCTCTTGAAGTTTTCGAAAATCCTCAGTTTTGGTTTCTAGTTTTTCTTTCAGAGGTTTCTGATCTTTCCTAAGGGTATAACCTTCGTATTTGAGGTCCTCATTTTCTCTTTTTAATAAATCGATTTGATATCGGAGAAATTTAATAGTAGTTTCACAAGATTGAGAGCATGAAAATTCATTGATCTTGGTGTTTAAAGAAGTCATTGTTTAACAAAAATGCCCTTTGACTTGAAACCAAGAAAGTCAACCTTAAAAGTCAAATTTAAAAAGTCAAACTGAAAGGCTACTTGAAATTTTGAAATTTAAATGAGAAAGTCAAAGTTTAAAGTCAAAGGTCAAACTTGAAAGTCAAATTCAAAATTTTAAGGTCAAAAGTCAAAAATGACAGTCAAAAATGAAAAACCAAAATTTTGTGTACAAAATGGAATTTCAAAATTCAAAAAAAATTGATTTTGGACTGAAAGTGTTAAAATTGCGAAACTGAAACCGAAATAACGAGTCTTTTCTAATTAAATCGGGAAGGAGAATAATGTGTGGCTTGTTAGATGAGTTGGAAGGGGCGTTGGTTGCATTTTCAAGAGACCTAGGTTCGATCCTTGCAACTCCCAAAATCCTTTTAATTATTCGTTGCACACGTGGGCCGATAAGAGGCTGCTGACCGTGGGTCGAACTCCTGCTGGGCTGAAGATCCGTAGGGACCGTAAACGAGGATTGGAGGAGCGTTTTTGGTCCAAGCTATAAATAAATCAATAATATTTTCGGCACAAGACTAAAAACAATAAATGCAAAGAAAAGCAAAGTATAAATCATATTTTTGACCCAACAATATACCATACTCTTTAATGATAAAAAAACATGGACCATGTATGAGATATTGCTAGTCAATGAATGGAGGAAAACCAACACATCACCCTTACGGATAGTGGTTCGCAGTGCGGTTTAGAAGAAAGAGAGAAGAAGGTGGAGTGTCTTACACCCGTACTAATACCCACATACTCGTTTTTTTATTTTATAATAATTAACCTTTAATTGTTATAAAAGATATACACCTTTATATATATATATATATATATATATATATCATTTATTTAACTTAACTCTTAAATTAAATAATAGACATACAAAGTTATTAAATCATTGAAATAAGTAATACATAATTGAATAAATTCATACCTTACGAATTAAATTAACATAAAATCTTATTTTATCATAAAATAATAAATATAAGAGTTATAGTATTTTAACATGAATCAACTTCATGAACTAAAAAGATCGATTTGGTATCTACTTTTTATTAGTGAGACCTTATAATATCATATGTTATTAACGATGTCATTTTATGTTTATTTTTTTGTCATATAGAACCATCAAAATTAACGTATGTACGAAGTACCTTCCTTTACATTCCAAACATAATGTTTTGGGCAATATTTCTTAAAATAAAAAGAATCCTTACAAAAGAAACATTTAATTGGTTATTGTGATCAGAACCCTTTCGCTTATTGTTGTGTTCTTAATTAACAATATTTTTACCTTTCTTCTTCTTACCACCCTTTTAATAATTTGATGCAAAATGAGAACTTTCGATCGTATGTTGATTTATAATATTTCCTCTTGCACCAAGTGGGAGATAAATTCATTCAGTGTATATTTATCTTTTTGACCATTCTAAATTACCGCAAAGGAAATTTATTGATTGTGGAGCTAACTGATGAAGCATTATGTACATCGGTTATTCCATGAGAAACAAATTTAACAAACTTAACTCACATATATAATGTAAAAATGAATTTCATGAAAGTAAGAAAAGTAACACCTTATGATATCAAAATGAAAGCAACATTGAATCTTTTATTAGTACAAGAGTCAACTTGCAATTGATTTTCTTGATGTGGTAATTAAAAAAATGAGTCTTTTATTAGGACAAATTTATTAGGACAAGAGTCAACCTTCAATTGATTTTCTTGATGTGGTGATTAAAAAATGATAATTTCCTATGGAACTACTTAATATTCTAATATGTATTAACAAAAATTACCATCATTCTGTTGCCACATGCCTAATTGGCATCTAAAACAAGGATGATGGAATCCACAATTAGAGAAAATAGAAATATTGATGCCAAAATTAACCATATGTCAATCAAGACCGCACCCATATATTTATTGAACCATGTGTAACCACCAATGTAACTAGTGTACAAACATAAGAAAATATTGAATGTGTTGATTCTTATAAAATACCCAAGAAAATATCTTCCAAGCCACATTGATTCATTGAATACCAATGACTTGGGCTTCAAAATCTGGTTACGAATGCAAAGAATTTTGGGAGGAAAAATGAAAGCTCATAAAACTCATGAATGAGCATATATATTACAACATGAACATATAAATAGACAGAGATTTAAATAGTCCATAAAAAGAATCATGGGCCAAACACAAACCAACCCAAAAGCAAAATCTAAAAATTATAAAAATAAAAATAAAAAACATAAAAACTTCTATAACTCCACTTACAAAGATATTTTTTTAGAAACTTATTGTGACGTGCTTTTTGGTTCAAGCTTGATTTAATTGATTGTAAGCCTAAAATAGAGCCTCATGGCCAAGTTATGACTATTTTCATCACTCGATCATGGACCTTACTTTAATGAACACGGGGCCTAATCACCTATGCTAGGGCCCACATCAGTAACCATCATTATTAGTGGTTATATTTTAGAAATTATACCCACCCAACTTTAGTCCTCACACTTACTCTAAATGACATAGACCAGTATAGAGTTGTGTTTGTTCTATGTCTCGTGTTTCATTAGCTTGTATAAATAGAGTTATGTGTTGTCTTTTAATGATTGTTTCGGTAGTGAAAATAGAAAACCCATTGTGATTATGTTTGCATTAATTTGTTCGATGTGTAATGTAAAGACTAGAACTTTCCTATTAATTTCATGCATTTTGTTTAATTAGCTTGTATACATAGAGTTGTGTGTTGCATTTTAATTATTATTTCGGCTAGTTGAGAACATAAATCTTATGTAGTTTTGTTTGATGTTAGTGATACATTTGTAATGTTAACCTTACCTCATTAACTTATTGTTTATTATTTTTTTTTTGTAGATGTTTCCCTGAAAATAGTTACAGACTGGCCAACCCTCACCGCTAACAAGGAACTACTCGGATTGTTAGCTCGAAAGACCGAAGCATTTGGATTAATAAAACCACCATTTTTTAGGAGAGCCTTACATAAAAGTGAGTATCTCTTCGCCTAACCTTTTCATAGACTAACTAGCCTTATTTTGGTTCCAGTTTGACTTATATGTTTATTTGAGGGTAACATATAATATAGGTTGGTTAAAAAGACACATTATGTTATCATATAAATACCCTAATTAATTTTTAAAATATTTTTATTGGCTAAAATTGTATTATTTTTTGAAAAATCTAACTGTAAGTAGTTAATTATATGTTGACTTTTTATAAAAGTTTCAATGAGGTGTCTAAGGGTGTTAACTTTGAGTGTGTTTGTGTATGTATGTATATATATATATATATATATATATATATATATATATATATATATATATATATATATATATATATATATATATATATATATATATATATATATAAAAGTTCAGTTGAAAAATAAAAAAGGTTAAGAATTGAGGAAACATTTTCAATGAGGTGTTTAAGAGGTGTTAACTTTGAGTGTGTGTGTGTGTATATATATATATATATATATATATATATATATATATATATATATATATATATATAAAAGTTCAGTTGAGAAAATAAAAAATATTGAGAAATGAAGGAATCATTTTCAGGCAATCATTTATTTTTGCCACAAAACCCTCCGTTGTACTCACGAAAAGGAAAATGAATACACATGTGTTTTTCAAAGTTGTAATATATTTCCTTAAACTATTCTTATCATTATCTTAATATATCCAAACAAATTTTTTTTTTAATTTTTAATAAGTTGTTTTGATAAAAAAAATTTATTTTAAATACATCAAAGTTCATAATTTTTTATTCTCCATAAATAGATATCCATATTGATATAGTTTTAACATAAAATAATTTTTTTAGTTTCAACTTTCGTTATTCATAAATAAATAAAAGTGTATCGGATTTTATTATTGTAGATAAATTATTCACTTATGAATAAAACGAATGTTTAACTTTTTAACTGTTTAAGCATTATTCATATACGAATATAACATCAAATAAAGTTTTTTCTTACTTAACATATTTTTAGTGGGTAAATTACAACAATCGTCCCTTGTGTTTCAAAAATTAACTCAGATCGTCCTTCATTTGTTTTAAACTTGCATGCTTCATCCCTGACATGCAATTTTGTTGCACGTTTAGTCCATATCAAATCTAAAAAACAATTATTCCTTTTATGTATTTCTTTTCCAATTAAATTAATATATTATTATTAATACTAATTTGAAAAAAATAGAAAAATAATAGCCAACCTATTCTCATCCACCTACCCTAAAAAAATAACCTACTATATCTTCACCTTATTTTTCTCTTAAACCAATCCTAAGCATCTGCATTACCACTACGAACAAACCACCAGACCATTGGTCACTGAAGATGGAGACCTCACCGGAGCACCACAATATCGGATTTCCTTCCTTTTTCTAAGCCTGGAAACGATGCCGACGATGAAAGAAAGGATTCCAATTGTTTGTGAAGTTTTGTTGCAAGTTTCTTTCTTGTTCTTGGTTTATGGTTTCGATGATAATTCCAAGAGGAGATTGTGTTTGAGATTAGAAATCATTTGATTTCCCATCCTTAGTAACCAAGGCTCAACCACCATTAATGCTTGACGTCCCCAAGCTTCAAGTCGCTAGAGATGGCGACTCTGTGGGTTCTTGATCTTCTTCTCCGGTGACCTGTGGTTTCCCTAGCCCACTATGTTTACCATCACTCATAGATTTGTTCCATTTATAAATCACTGACACTCGATTTTTGCAAGTGGGTTTTTAGATTTGAGTTTTGGATTTTCCAATTTGATGTGGTTTGATTTGAAGGTTTTTGGTTGTAGATTTATGGTTTGATTTTGAGGTTTCTGGAATAGAGAGTGAGAGATGGCATGATATAAGGGGTGATCAGAGGTTACTGGTGACCGGAGGTGGCTGGTGATTGGAGGTGGTTGATAGACAGTGGTGTTAGGGGTAATCTACTCATCTGTGGAAAATCTTGTTACGGGAGAAATGTAGAAATGGAAGAGGAAGGGTGGGGATATTTGTTTTTACTTTTAATTTAGAAATGATCAATAAATAAAAGAAAATGAGAAAAAATTACTAAGGGAAAATAAGCGTGAAAATTTTAAACAAACGAGAGATGGTTTAAGTTAATTTTTGAAAATATGGACTAAACATGCTTTTTGGCATGCGCACGAAAGACTATTGGTGTAATTTACCCTATTTTTAGTCATATGTGAATAAAAGTATATCATATTTTTATAAAAATATATTCGTTATTCACTTATGAATAAACCGTTTAAGTATCATTTATATATGAATAATCACATGTTATATTTATATATGAATAAAACTTGTATTAGCTCTCTCCTCACATTTTATATTCATATGTAAATAAAACATTTATCATAATTTTATTACACTTCATTTATTATTCATATATAAATAAGTAGTTGGAATATTCAAAACACACTTTCTTTTGTTTGTTGGGTTTCAGTTTGTGCAGTCATTTGGATGAAGGTTGGACCTGCAGAAAAACCGAGTGATGCCATGCAATTACTTAGAATCATCTGCGGAAATATTATGAAATTGCCAAAGGCTAAAACTGACTACCTTATGGGAAACGTAACAAATGAGCGGGGACTTCCAACGCACTCACTGCAACCACTATTTATTGCTGCCGAAATGGGAAACACCGAATTTGTAGTAGAGCTCATTCGCCAATATCCAGATTTATTATGGAAGAGAAATGACGATAACCAAACTATATTTCATGTTGCTGTCTTACATCGTCATGTGAGTATCTATAATCTTCTGCATGAGATTGGCTCGATGAAGGATATGATAACATCTGTCGTGGACAAGAATGGAAATAATATGTTGCATCTAGTTGGGATGGTGGCAAACGGACATGAACGTGAAGATAATTCAGGATTCCGTCTACAAATGCAACATATGCAACGTGAAGTGTTATGGTTCAAGGTACTTCATTTTGTCGATCAACATTCCCAGTTCCTTTCTCAATGATTGGTAGTGTTATATAAGTGAAAACTAGTTATTATAACTACATGTATAGAGAGAAAGAAATTTACTTGTCCTTTTTCTGTTTTTATATTAATACCTTGGAGATATCTACAAACATTTACCTAACGGAAGGTTAACAAGTCTTCTTGTTCTCTGCATCGTCTGTACAAGTGTGGATCTCAACTATTTTATCCTATAGTAACTATAATTATTGAATACACAATCTCAAATATGACATGCTCAAAATGTATGATGCCAAATCTTATGTTTCATGTGGCGTCCTCTAAAACATTAATTTGTGCAGGAAGTAAAAGATATGATCCCTCCTTCTTATCGGAAAATGAAGAACAAAAATGATCGAACACCAAAACAATTGTTCAAGAGTGAACACGACTATCTACTCTTAGCGAATGAGAAATGGATGAAAGACACGGCTAACCAGTGCTTGCTGATTGCTGCACTCATAGCTTCCACAGGATGCTCAGCAGCTTTCGCAGTTCCAGGTGGATACAACCAGAACACTGGTATGCCTATCTTTCTTCACAATCGACCATTCATATTCTTCAACATATTAAATGCCATTTCTGTGGTATTCGCTGCCTATTCGATCCTCATATTCTTATCCATTTTCATATCTCGCTATACTGAACATAACTTCTTGGAATCATTGCCCAAAAAATTGATGAGAGGTCTGTCAGCACTTTTCTTCTCAGTCGCAAACATGGCGGTAGCTTTTCTTGTTGCTTTCTTCTCCTTTTGGCAGGGCGAGTTGATTTGGGTGCCACTTTTTATCAGCTGTTTTATTTTCATGCCAATCATTTTATATGTGAGACTGCAATATGAAGTTCTAATGGATGTTTATTACTCAACATATGGTTCAAGGAATCTCTTCCGGCCAAAAAAGCTTAGGCTATATCATCAAAATCCAAGGTTGTAGTTACTTGTTTTTATAGTAAATTTTGTTTCAGATTGTGATTGTATAGTAGATGCTTTCTGTGAATTCGAAGGTTGTGATGGGTGGATGTTAATATACTTTTTAAACTCAGATGTTATGAATTTGAAGTTCTTTGGTTTTTTAAGCTAACTAATTTACTCTCTGTAATGTGTCGTAAAGTCCCGACGTCTAATTACTTTTTTAAGCATATATAATATTTTTGAAAGGAAAAAAAAAAACTTAATAGTATTATAAAATAATAATCATTATATTACACCAGAAGGAATTAATATATTTAATTGATTAAACATTTCGATTATCTACTATATAGTAAATTAACTAATTTTGCCATCCAAATTAAACTAATATTAGTTTCAAGATAAATCATTTAATTTTTACCATATTAATTTGAATTTTTACCATATTAATTTGAATTTTTTGAATTTATTAACAATTATAGATTAATATTAACCTTTTCGATTATTTTTTTTATCAAAGTTCTAAATAACGTTAGGTGTGACATGGCGGTAGTGTCAGGCTTCAAGCTTTTGCAAGCTATGTCGAGCCACGTCATTTGTAAGACGTAATTTAAGGCGACAATTTTGTATAAAATTAAAAATTTTGTATAGTTCTTATATATATGATTCAAGACGACATTTTGTTAAATCGTGACATCAACTACAAACCTTGGAATTATGATGAGCATTTTAGAACATTGTTTTTTGTTGGAAATCAGACAGCAAAATATCAAGCTACACACTCAAAATATGCAAATTGAATTAGGAATTAAAGATACGCACACTTGGAAGAATTTTTGGAAGTTTTTATTCTAATGCACTATTAACAGTAAAACAGGGATTGAAAATCTTATAGACTACTACATTGAAAATTGAAATAAAAGGCTTTAAACTAAGAATTGAAACTGAAAATACTTTACTACCTGGTTAACCACATTTAGCTAATAATATGGTAACCACTTATTCATTTTTAATGCGTTAAAATTTGAGTTAAACATGAACCAAGTCAGGATGAATTCCAACATTCTCCTCCTCAATCATGATTTATGTCTTCTGGTATTCAACACCCAACAAATTCCGCATTTCTACAAATTTGACTCGTGGAAGTGCTTTGGTCAAGATATTTGCCTTTTCTTCTTCCCCGTTTACATGCCCAACGCATATGAAACCTTTTTCGACACATTCTCGAATGAAATGATATCGGGTGTTGATGTGCTTCCTTCTTCCATGGAATATCGGATTTTTCATCAGCTCAATTGCAGATTTGTTGTCTACAAGAATCTTTACACAACTTTCTTTAGAACCTGTCAAATACTTCAAGAAACCTTGTAGCCACAAAGCTTGACAAGCTGCTGAAGTCGCCACCATAAACTCGGCTTCGCAAGAAAACAAAGCTACTGTTCGCTATTTTTGTGAACACCAAGTGATTAGATTTCCTTAAAAATAAAATGCCATCCCAGATGTACTTTTCCCATCTTCACAATCCCCATTGTGGCTGCTGTCACTATAGCCAAGTATCTTCCCGTATCCTCCCTTCCGATACACTAACCCATAGTTGAGAGCCCCTTTGATGTATCGCATAATTTGCTTAACTGCTTTGAGGTGACTTTCTCGTGGTGACTCCATGAATCTACTAACGGCACCCACTGAATAACTTAGGTATGGTCTGGTGTGAGTTAAATAACGCAAACTCCCAATGAGACAACCATAATGTGTAGCATTCACCAGCACTCCTTCTTCATCTTTAGTCAGGTCAAGCTTCGGTTCCATGGGACTTTTTGCTAAGTTGCAATCAGACATGCCAGCTATCTGTAATATCTTTTGAGCATACCTCCTTTGGCAAATAGAGATTATGTTCTTGCATTGTTGAAATTCCATTCCAAGATAGTATGACAGTTTCCCAAGATCACTCATGTCGAAAACTTCCCGCATTTGCCTTTTAAACACCTAAATTCCTTCTTCACTCGAACTTGATACTATCAAATCATCAACATACACTCCAATAATTAGTACAAATTTTGATTCTTGGCATTTGTACACAGCTTGTTCCTGGGGGCACTTTTGAAAACCCAACTCCTTAAGTGTTTTATCAAGCTTGATATTCCAAGCTCTTGGTGCTTGACGTAAGTCGTAGAGAGCTTTATTCAACTTGTACACCATGTGTTCCTTTTCTGCAATCACAAAACCATCAGGTTAAGTTACATACACCTCCTCTTGTAAGTCACCATTCAAGAAGGCCGACTTTACATCGAGGTGGTGCACCTTCCATCCCTCAAAAACAGCCAGAGCTAACAGTGAGCGTACTGTTTCTATCCGAGCCACCGGTGCAAAAATCTCGCTAAAATCAATTCCTTTTTCCTGTATGTATCCCTTAGCGAAAAGCCTCTCCTTGTGTCGTACTACTTTTCCATCAGAATCTCTTTTTAATTTAAAAAAAAAACCCACTTCAACCCTATGGGTTTTTTACCACGAGGCAGACCAGTCAACTTCCAAGTTCAATTTTTTTCAATCGACTGAGGCTCTATTTTCATTGCGTCTACCCGTTCTTGGTTACAGGCTGCTTCAAAATAAGTTGTAGGCTCATCTCCAATGAACATTAATTCCTCTTGTTCATCTTCCATTTCTACCGGTTGTGTTTCATCATAAATGTTGTATACTGATCGAAACCCTCAAACAGGTGTATGATCATAGGCAGAGTTGTTGATGCACTGATTACTTCCTGGTGTTTCAATTGATGTGCTTCCCATGCTCGAAGATAAAATTGATTAGTTACCTAACCTGGTTATTGGAGTTTATACTGGTGATATCGGGTCACTTGTGTCGTCTGCAATAGGGCTAAGATCTTCTTCACCAGGTTGATTTTGGCTTTGTACCCTTCTTTCTACTTCAACATTGATAGGAACCTGGAACCAATTGGGCTTCAATGTTGGCTCACTTTCTTGGGCTACACCCCAATTCCATTTAACCTTTTCTTCAACTATAACATCACGGGCCACGTGTAACTTGTTTTTACTAGGGTTAAATAAGCGATAGGCTTTGGTTCCTGGCTCCACTCCCAAGTACACCATTGCCACACTTCTGTCACTAAGTTTAGTGAGTTGGTTTGCTGGTCTTTTTACATGTGCGAAACACCCAAAAACCCTAATGTGTTGGAGTGTCAGTTTTCTTCCCTTCCAGGCCTCGTATGGTGTCATATTCTTCACTCCTTTAGTTGATACTTGGTTGAGAATGTATATAGCATGATGAACGGCTTCGCCCCATAAAGTCTCTGGCACATTTATACTTTTCAACAAAGATCTCGTAGCTCTAAGTATAGTTCTGTTACGACGCTCTACTACCCCGTTTTGTTGAGGGGAGTAGGGCATCATCAATTGCCTCTTTATTCCTTCTTTATCACAAAAATCTGCAAACTGCTTAGAGACGAATTCACCTCCTCGATCTGTCTTTATGCCTTCAATTTGAACGAGCTTTCATTCTCAACTCGAGCCTTGAAGCTCTTGAAGGCTGAAAAAGCTTCATCCTTGGTCTCAATAACATAAATCCACATATACTTGTTGTAATCATCAACAATTAAGAAAAAATATTGATTGCCTCCCACTGTAGTTGGTGATACTGGTCTGCACAAATCTGCATGAAGTAATTCCAACGGGTTGTTTGCATGCCACTGAGTTTCTTTAGGGAATGATTTTCGGGTCTGCTTAGCAATTAAACATCCTTCACATACATGTATAGGATGCTTTATCTTTGGTATTCCATACACCAGTTCCCTTTCAACCATGGATTCTATGATCCTGAAGTTCACGTGACCAAGCCTCGCATGCCATAACCACGCCTCATCATCCAAACTAGTAGCTAAACATACATGCTGAGTTGTATGGAGAAAAATTTTGTATAATCTATTACTGGATCATTGAACCTTCATGATCAGCCTTCCATCTTCACCATGTACCCGCAAATATTGATGCAACATCTCGATTTTATACCCGTCTTCTGTCATCTGCCCTAAACTCAAGATGTTGCAGTGCAAAGCGGGTATGAAATATACCTCCGGTATCAAAAGTTACTCACCATCCTTTCACTCCACCAAGATGGATCCTTTTCCTGCAATTTTCCCCTTAGAGCCATCACAAAATTGCACCTGTCGAGTCACATTTTCATCAAGCTCCACGAAGAAACTTTTCACACCGTTCATATGGTTACTAGCGACATTATCCAAGTACCAAATGTCTTTTTTGTTTCCTTTCTGTCCTGGAAAAACCTTGTCTCGTTTAGTAGCACCATGTTGTTTGTCTCTTCACGATGGACAGTCAACAGTAAAGCGGGTCCTTCTTCTTCCATCTGATTCAAATTTGCCTCATCTCTTTTTTTTCTCAGTGCTTTGCATTCAGATGCATAGTGACCATATTCCTCACAGTTGAAACACGTAATATGACTCTTATCCTTTCCTCTTTGGCGATTATTATTTGAGTCATGAGGCACCGACGAATTGACCCAACCACCTTTGCCTCGTGCACTTCCTCTACCACGACCACCCGATCGACCCCCTCTATCATGGTGTGACGGGCCCCTTCCTCTACCACCTGTTGAGAACCCATCCCATGAAGACTTTTGATTGAGGTTGTTTTCTGTTTAAGTAAGTAACAAACCCGCTTCCCCACTTATTTGGCTGCTACGGGACTTAAGTCAGTCCTCGTAAGCCTTAAGCCTACCAATTGCTTCTTCAAAAGGCATGCTATCCAAATCTGAGTACTGTTCAATCAATGCCACCAGCTAGAGATACTTGTCTGGAACTGAATCAAGTAGCTTTCTCACCACTTTGTTGTCTTCAAGGGTTTCACCAAGGCTGCTAAACTATGAAATCATCCCACTCAATTTTCCTGTGAACTCATCGATAGAGTCTCTGTCTTTCATCCGTAATGCCTCGAAATCACTTTTGAGTGTGTGTAATCTGGCCTACGGTACCCTATCTGCTCCCATGTACCTTAA